TGCCCTTTATAAACCACAAGCTGAGGCCAGAGGCAGTTCCCTACCAGCATCCAAGGCAGAAGGAGCTCCCTGCCAGCAGCCAGAGAGTGAGAAGCTCCTGGAGCAATGATGCGAGGAGAAGCCTGACTGCAGGTACTGCTAGCAGAGTAAAGGGGAGCAGCTCCAAGATGTCCAAGCAATGTCGTTACAGCCAGGTGGCTTATGTTTAAGTTGTAGCCAGGAGGCTCGAGTTTCTGTATCGTTTTGTTGTTTAACACCAGTGGTTTGTGTGAGGCTATAAGGGGATGGAGGAGGCTTCATAGGGGACTCACGGTAGACTGAGGACCCCAGCCCCAGTGAGGGCACAGAGTTTGGGAGTACAGACCCCAGCTCCAAAGCAGAGCCCGCGAGAGAGGGCAGCCCTGCAGAGGGAAGAGCCCATGAGAGAGGGCAGCCCTGCAGAGAAGGCCCCAGTGTGAGCGCGGAGAGCCCCAGGAGAGGGGCAGCAGTACAGAGAAGGCCCTAGTGAGAAGGGTGGTGTACAGAGAAGGCCTACAAGGCTTAGATACGCAGGACACCCGGAGCAGGAGAACTGTGGCCAAGTGGAGGAGAGGTAGCCTCCCCATAAAAACACATCATCAAAGTCGTGGTGGGCGAGAATAGGAGGGTGCAAGTCCGAAGCTTGGCACAGTAGAGGAGGCGGCAAGGGCTAGCACAGCGACCCTGCCATCCCTCCTGTTACAGACTTAGTAAACAGAATCATGTATCCTCCTGTTTCTGTGTTTCAGAGCCCTGCATATATTTCTCTTGCTTTTCAAAAAGTACATTGCATCAATGAAATGTAACAGCTCCGTCAAAAACTCTGAGCTTTACAAAGAATGACACTGTTAATTTTTCTATTGCTAAAGAATGCAGTTGCTAACGAAAACCAAGAATGTAATTTCTTAGCTTTTTAAATAAAGTTCTCGAGGAAAATGTACTTAATGAATTTACTTTTAACAGTTTCACCCTCATTTTAATTTGGTAATTAATTAATTAATTGCTAGAGAACATATTTGTCTAATCCAGTTCTATTGCTATGCTATATGGATTGCAATTGAGAACATAAGAACATAAGAGCTAAGTACAGTGTGTCAAAAAGCCCGAAGCTGAATCAATTCAGTTGTCGCAGATTAGTCTAAACTGTGTAGATTTAACTGATAAGGAGGTATATCATGAACTTGAGGAGTCAGCCAGCTGATTTCACAGGCAGATCTCAGGGCTGTCTGCCATTTTTGCGGGCTGAGTGTGGCACCCCCCCCATCTCTGATCTGCCCAGGGGTCCCGGCAGTCCTGCCCCTTAATGGAGCTTACCAGGTGGCCCTAATTGCCACTTAGATTGCTTAACAATGATTCCCTTAATGGCTACAGCAGGCTTAATCAGGAGATTAAGCCTATGGAAGCCATTAACTGACACATTATTAAGCAATGTAAGCACTTAATTAAACTCTAAAATGAAATATCTTATTAAAATAAAGCTATGCACACCATGAATTGTAACTAATACCAACTATATAAACCTTATTAATACCAAACTATATACACTTTAGTAAAGGACATTATAAAAAGGAGTTTACAGAAACTGAACGCTAACCTTAAGACAGGCAATTCAGGTAGTTATTAAATGCAAGCATGCTGCATCCAGCTGCAGTTGTTGCAGACATTCTCTGTCCCTGTGGGGTGAACACCTGTCTGTACACTGAGATGGCATGATCAGCAGCTACTGAATTTGCTGGAATGGTGAGGCAGCGTACTGCCAAGGCATACATATGTGGAAACTGGTCACAGACAGTTCCTGAACACAGGCACAGGCATCCAGCACTCTTGGATGAAGTTCATGTAAGCGGCATGTTCCATGCTCTTTTCCCCATCCCAGGATTGCTTTTAGTAGCTGAGGGTCACAACTGAGAAAAGGCACCTGGCTGGGGTTCAAAATGCAAAGAGCACTAAGGAAGGAAGCAGCTGGTTGCCTGAACCATGGTGGTAGTGATGGGTTGTACCTGCAGTACTAATTCAGCTTCACAGCTATTGCCTGAAACAGGCCCCCTTTCCAGTGGTTTTCATGAGGACAGCTTGGCAGTTCATGCAATACCCTGTCTTCCACCCAACTTATCAAATCCAGCAGCTTGTTGCGTCCATGGTGGATCACAGTCTTCTGGGCTTCAAACCATGTCAGGAGCTCCATGAACCAGGTGGCATTGTCAGGCACAAATGTCACTTGATCTTGAATGTCACCTCACCTTAAGAGATCATGAAGCTTAAGCTTACATAATATTGTGCTACTTCATATTTGAACTCCTTCAACATTTTCATGTGAATACCATCTGGTCTTGGTGACTTATTAGTCTTTAATGTATTGATTTGCTTTAAAACCTCCTGTGTTGCCACTTCAAAGTGATCCAGGTCTTTGGATCTATCTGCTAGGAAGAATTGATCCAGTGTACAAGTCTCCCCAATATCCTCTACAGAAAAACTGATGCAGAGAATTAATTTGCTTTCCCTGCTATGCCCATCTCATCCCTGCATGCACCTTTTATACCTTGGTCATCTAATGGTTCCACCAATTCTCTGGTTGCTTTCCTGCTTCTGATGTATTGAAAGTAGTTCTTATGATTAAGCTGTGTTACAGGGTTGATTGTGTAGTTTTAGTAATAGGATAGATGGGGATGGTAGGGGTTTGGGCTAGACAACATCTAGAGCAGGGGTAGGCAATGTTTTTTGGCTGGAGTGCCGAAAAACATCACAATGCCTACCTTGGAAGGTGCCGGAGTGCCGGCATGCCAGAAAAACAAAATGAGGTCAGGGGGTACATGGCAGGATGCCCTGTTTGTGCCCCTAGCCAAAGCCCCCGGCCCCCAGCCCTGCTGCCCCTGGCCTCCCAGCCTGGGCTCTGTGGGTGTCAGCAGCTACCCTGGCTCTGGGTATCTGCTAGAGCCCGGGCTG